ACCTCTCACAATCCTCCGCTGGTATCCACCATCCATCTTTCACCCATCTCAACCCACGCCTTCTAGCCTCCTTCTTTCGTGCTCGTCTCTTCCTTGTACAAGGCTTGCACCCACAACATGATTCCTTAATTTTTGCCTTGCGTTTTCTTCGTACTCGTTTGGTCCTGTGTTTCTTAGGCTTAAGCTTTGATTGCGGACCACACCCTTCTGGCCAATCTCGTACGCATGATGGCTGGTATATTGGACTTCTCGGCTCCTCCAGCATGTTTTCCAGCCATATGTCGAGACCATCGTCACCTTCCTCATCGGACTCACCGGGGTTGATGACCACTTCCGTATCAGTGCACGGCCACGCCCTTCGGCCGACACGACACTTAAACATGAAATCTCTTCGAACACTTAATCTTAGCTGAACATGATATTACCCAACAAGACTAAACATACAAAGATTGTTCGGAGAATTCGCATTAAATCATAACATGACCCGACGCGACTACTCGCACGACCGCAACGACATGCGACACGCACACAAGCTTAAACTGAAAGCTAAACTGAAAAAACATAATAATCTCGGCTTACAATCACACGGGAATTACCTCCGACTAAACTCGAGCGACAACACTCCTCGGATTCCCGTGTTCGGACGTGACCTTCCGCGTGCGTGTTGTCGTGTGGTGCGTGACTGATTGCCGTGTGGACTGCTGCTACTTGCCGTGCGTGTACTCCTCACAAACCCTCACAAACTCTCTATTTAGATGGAATATAAGGCTGAAAATGATGAGGAATTTGGCTCCCAACTCCCACTTTTATACTTGGACCGAAAAGAGTGAAATGATGGGGTGATGTGGTGTTTAAACCAACTAATGACACTTGGAACAAGACTAGGCAATACTAAGATGACTAATCTCTTCATGACCTTAAATAAAGCCACGTATTAGTGCCTTAAGAATGAAGAAATAACCTCTTTGATTGAAGACCCCAACTTACGGTATTTGGGATTTAATTTCCCATTTGGTACGGCTTTTGCACTAATACATGTGATTAATTATCAATTAATCACCTCATTAGGTTTAATTATTTAATTAAACATAATGCTTAATTACCAAAATTATTCCGAACGTAAACAGGGCGTCGAAAATAATTTCCGGTAATTTCGACTGAAATGACTGAAATTATTAATTCCGAAAATTAATACTCGACCATATTAATATATCGGAATTAAAAACATGATTTACATTAATAAACTGACGGGATATTACAATCCTCCCTCCTTAAAAAAATTTCCGTCCTCGAAAATTCAAAACATAACTGAATATACATGAATTATGTACATAGAACAAGAAAATATGTACATCAAAACTGAAAATCTGGAAAACGAGCGCGAATATCGGCCTCCGCCTCCCAAGTAGCTCCGTGGCGATCCCATTGAATACGCACGAGGGGAAAATCTCGCTTCCGGAGCCGACGGACCTGACGGTCTAGTACAGCTACCGGTCGGTCCTCGTACGAAAGATCTGGCTGGACCTGAATATCTGAATGAGGAATAACATGATCAGGATCGCACACGTACTTACGCAACATAGATGCGTGAAAAACATTATGAATGCCTGATAACTCGGGAGGTAGGGCTAATCGCTACGCAACCTCGCCTACTCGCTCGAGAACCTCGAACGGACCGATGAATCGAGGGTGCAGCTTCCCTCTCTTTCCGAATCGAACGAATCCACGAATCGGACGAACTCTGAGAAAAGCTGGCTCGCCAACCTGGAACTGAATATCTCGCCGATGATGATCGGCTGAAGATTTCTGTCGACTCTGAGCTGTCTTGAGTCACTGCCGGATCAACTTGACCTGATCTGCTGTCTCCTCGATCAACTTGGGACCGAGTACTCGTCGCTCTCCGATGTCGTCCCAATAAAGAGGGGAACGACACTTGCGACCATAAAGTGCCTCGTAAGGAGCCATCTGAATAGAAGAATGATAGCTGTTGTTGTAAGCGAACTCGGCATACGGCAACAACGACTCCCACTAAGCACCCTTGTCAACGACCAAGACGCGAAGCATATCCTCAAGCGTCTGAATAGTCCGCTCTGACTGACCATCTGTCTCCGGATGATAGGCTGAACTGAACTCTAACTTCGTGCCCATCGCCTCATGTAAGTTGTGCCAGAATCTGCTGATGAATCTGGGATCTCTGTCTGATACGATAGTAACGGGCACTCCGTGGAGTCGAATGATCCCACGGGTATATATCTCAGCCAACTTATCCAAAGACATCTTCATCGAAACGGGTAAGAAATGAGCGACCTTAGTCAGTCTGTCGACCACGACCCAAATAGCGTCGTGATGTTCAGACGACCTCGGTAATCCCGTAACGAAATCCATCGTACCTTTCTCCCATTTCCACCTCGGAATCGGCAGTGGCTGCAGGAGGCCGATCGGACTCTGATGTTCGGCTTTGACTTGCTGACAGGTAAGACACCTCCTAACAAACTCGGCGACGTCCTTCTTCATGCCTCGCCACCAGAACGACCCTTTCAGGTCGTGATACATCTTCGTGCTCCCGGGATGGGCTAGATAGGGTGCGGTATGAGCCTCTGATAAAATCTCCTTCCACAACGCCTTGACTTTCGGGACCACGATCCTGCCTCTAAACTCTAGGGCACCATCGGCACCTAGTTGAAAACCCTCGATGCCTCCGGCGCGAACCTTGGCCTCCATGACACGAATGAACTCGTCAGAAGCCTGCTCTCGCCGGATTCTCTCTCTCAGTGTCAGCTGTAGCTGCATGGCATTGACACTGGCACTGGTGCTCCCCGAAATGGCGATGGGAAGTGCATCGATCGCCTGAAGCTGCATCCGGGCAAACTCCCGAATCAACGGACTCTGCTGAGTAATGACGTACGTCAAGTCACCCCTCACCTTCCGGCTTAGGGCGTCAGCAACGACGTTCGCCTTCCCCGGATGATACTGAATAGAGCAATCGTAATCCTTGACGAGCTCTAGCCAACGGCGCTGTCTCATGTTGAGCTCCTTCTGAGTAAAAATATACTGCAAGCTCTTATGACAATAAGGACAATAACAAACTGATCGAGGTAGGGATGGAAGATACGATTCATGAGGTCCATGAAAACTGCTGGAGCATT